CTCCTCCTCTTCGCCCCTCCCTCCTCCTCCTCCTCCTCCTCCTCCTCCTCTTCTTCTTCTTCTTCCTCCTCCTCCTCCTCGTCCTCCTCCTCCTCCTCGTCCTCCTCCTCCTCCTCCTCCTCGTCCTCCTCGTCCTCCTCGTCCTCCTCGTCCTCCTCGTCCTCCTCGTCCTCCGCCCTCCTCCTCCTCCTCCTCCTCTTCCTCTTCCTTCTCCCCCTTCCTCCCTCCTCCTGCTCCTCCTCCTCCTCCTCCCCTCCTCGTCCTCCTCGTCCTCCTCGTCCTCCTCCTCCCTCTCCTCCTCCCCCCTCCTCCTCCGCCTCCTCTTCCTCTTGTCCTCCTCGTCCTCCGCGTCCTCCTCGTCCTCCTCGTCCTCCTGGTCCCCTCGTCCTCTCCTCCTCCTCCACTCCTCTCCTCTCCTCCTCCTCATCCTCCTCTTCCTCCTCCTCCCCCTCCCTCCTCCTCTCCTCCTCCTCCTCCTCCTCCTCCCATCTTCTCCTCTCCTCGCTCCTCCTCCTCCTCCTCGTCTCCTCGTCATCCTACTCCTCCTTCCGTTCATCCGCGTCCTCCTCGTCCTCCTCCTCCTCCTCATCCTTCCTCCTCATCCTCCTCCTCTCCTTTCTCCTCTTCCTCATCCCCCCCTCATCCTCCTCCTCTCCTCCACCTCCTCCTCGTCGCTCTCACTCTTCCTCCCTCCTCCTCCTCTCCTCCTCATCCTCCTCCTCCCCCTCCTCCTGCATGGCCAGCGCCGGCGCCGCTGTACAATTGGCACTCCCTGAGGCGCCGCCCTCTCGTGGGCGACCCGCTGGACGGTGCCGGTGAGCGCGTCGAGGAACTCCTGGGTGCCAGCGCCCGCAAAGGGCGCTGGCAGAGGGAGAATAGGAGAAGGACGAGGAGGAGGAGGAGGAGGAGGAGGAGGAGGAGGAGGAGGAGGTGGAGAAAGGAGGCGGAGGAGAGGAGGAGGAGGTGGAGAAGGAGGAGGAGGAGGAGGAGACGACGAAGAGGAAAAGGGAGGGAGGAGGAGGAGGAGGAGGAGGAGGAGGAGGAGGAGGCGGAGGAGGAGGAGGAAAGGAGGAGGAAAGGAGGAGGAGGAGGAGGGAGAGGAGGAAGGAGGAGGAGGAGGAGGAGGAGGAGGAGGAGGAGGAGGAGGAGGAGGGGGAGGAGGGGAGGAGAGGAGGAGGAGGAGGAGGAGGAGGAGGAGGAGGAGGAAGAGGGAGGAGGAGGAGGAGGAGGAGCAGGAGGGCAGGAGTGAGGAGGAGGACGAGAGGACGAGGAGGAGGAGAGGAGGAGGAGAGGAGGAGGAGGAGGAGGAGAGGAGGGAGAGGGGAGGAAGGGCGAGGAGGAGAAGGAGGAAGAGGAGGAGGAGGAGGAGGAGGAGGACAAGGAGGAGGCGGAGGAGGAGGAGGAGAGGAGGAGAAGGAGGGGGTAGGAGGAGGGGGAGGAGGGGGAGGAGGAGGAGGAGGAGGAGGAGGAGGAGGCGGATGGGAGGAGGAGGAGGGCACCGGGCACAAAGCGAGGAGGAGGAGTAGGAGGAGGAGGTGGAGAGGAGGAGGAGGAGGAGGAGGAGGAAGGAGGGGGGAGGAGGAGGAGGAGGAGGAGGAGGAGGAGGAGGAGGAGGAGGAGGAGGAGGACGAGGAGGAGGAGGAGACGAGGAGGAGGAGGGACGACGAGGGAGGAGGCGGAGAACAGGAAGAGACGAGGAGGGAAGGAGGAGGAGGACGAGGAGGGGGATGAGGAGGAGCAGGAGAAGGGGATGAGGAGAAGGAAGAGGAAGAGGAGGAGGAGGGGCGGAGGAGGAGGAGAAGGAGGAGAAAGGAGGGAGGAGGAGGAAGAGGAGGGAGGACGTAGGAGGAGGAGGAGGAGGAGGAGGAGGAGGAGGAGGAGGAGGAGGAGGGAGGGACGAGGAGGAGGAGGAGGAGGGAGGGGCGATGAGGAGGAGGAGGAGGAGGAGGAGGAGGGATCAGGCATACAAGGAAAAGGATGAAGAGGGGTGGGAGGAAGGGACAGACGGAGGAAGGACGACGAGGAGGTGGGAGCGAGGATTCGGAGGCTCCTGGTGCCAGTCCCCGAAGATGTAGCCCAGGCCGTTCTTGTTCTGGGCCTTCGTGTAGGAGATCCCCCAGTAGAACCGAAGGCCCTCGCTGGACACCTTGGGGTTCAGAGGCACCAGGAAAAACAGCCGGTGCCGCAGGCCCTTCTGCAGGGTGAGGAGGCACTCCTAGAGAAACGAGGCAAAACAAGGCAACAGCGCAAACATAAAAACTCTCGGAGGTCCGCGCGGGCCCCTCGAGTCGGCGCTGGACTGGTCCAGCGTCGACCCAAGAAATCCGTGCGGACCTCAGGCGAAGCGTGTCTGTGCAAGTCGTTGTTATTCGAGCTCCTTAGGCATGTCGCCCATGTCGGCCCCGTGCAACCACACGACCAAATAGGGGGGCTCCTCCACCTGACCCGGCCCGCAGGCCTCGTAGATGGTGTAGGAGCTCTCGCCGAAGGTCTTGCCCACCTTCATCGCATCAGTCGGCATCGAATCGGGAAACTGGATCTGTTGGGGATGTGCGTACGATCGAGCCGCATCGGCAAGGAATCGGGGCCGTGTCGGATCGGCCGCGCCCAGATTTTTGTTTTGAAGGGAGACGATGGGACCGCGCATGATGATTCAACAGACAGTGCGAAGCGGAACGCAAGCAGGACATCGAAACCTGGCAGGCCTGAAATGCTAAACACCTGTTGGACCGGAATAACTGAACGAATTTCCCGCCCCAGCACGCAGGCTCCGCCGGAAAAAAACGTTCAAGATTGTATGTGCGGCGATTGGCACAAATCAGACTGCAGCGCGACGATTATGGGCCCGTTGAATGCGCCCGGGGGCGGAGCGCTCCCAATACGGGCCACGAGTGCCGCGCGTCTATGGTACACGAATGCACCGGGGTCCACCACAGTGCTACTCCACCGTCGAGGCGCAAGGAGGCCCTACCGATCGCATAACATCCGAATCTCGGGCCGACCTCCGGCGGCAACCGCGGACTACCCTACAGCTACCACTCCGAGTACAAGGAGGCAAGCAAATTTGCCCCGAGAGCGCCCGCTCTTCGTTGATCCAGGTCAGGAAATCATGGGCAGAACGACCTTGCTTGTCGGTCATCTTGCGCTCCCGATATATACGCAAGCCCGAGAGCGACGGGCGGACGAGCAGGAGGGACGAGGAGGGATGGGCGAGGGGACGAAGCAGCACAGCAAGCCTGAACCGCGCCTCCTGCCGGAACAGAGGAGCCAGGCCAAGGGCGGCCAGCACCACTGCAACATATTGCTACTCCGGATTTCGTAATAAAAGGGAGGGGGGTCTCATTTCGGGGGGGGGTCTCTTCCAGGAAATCTTGGAGGGCCTGGGGGGTCTGGGGACGATGATTTGGAGGGTTCTCCCACGGGGGAGGTCTGAAATGGCTTGTCTTGGAGGGTCCAGACCCCCTCCCATTGATTACGAAATCTGGAGTATCAAGTGGAAAGGCAAAATACAGAAATGGAACACTGAGGGCTGCGCCGGCCCAGCAGGAGGGCAGCTCGGATCGCCGGCCCAGCAGGATCGACCGAGCCAAGATGCACCATACCGCCATGCAAACATCAGGCCGCATCGCATCGCCAAAGCATCGGAATCGAGTAGGATCGAGCTGGCCGCAATCGAAATCGAGTTGGATCGGTCACATCGGCATTGGCCCTCCAACACGAGGCTTTTGCGAGGTGCCCAGGGTCTGGGCAACGCCCGGTCGCAATCGATCCGCGCCACCCTCCCTGGGCCCATCCTGGCAATGTACTGCCAGGGTGCGTCCAGCCGTGGCGACGAGGAGGGCCCCCGAAGGCAACAACAGCAACAACAACAACAGCAGCAACAACAACAAACACAAACACAAACACAAACACAAACACAACAACAACAACAACAACAACAACAACAACAACAACAACAACAACCACAACCACAACCACAACCACACCCACAACCACAACCACAACCACAACCACAACCACAACCATAACAACAGCAACAACACCAACAACAACAACAAAGCAAAACAACCTGCTGATGTACCCGGACCAGGTCCTCCAATTCTCCTTTTCGCTCCACGTAGTGAAACATCTCACTGGTGTACCTGGACCCCCTTCCCCACCTCTCCGCAACGTAACGCAACGCAACACGGCTGCTGGTGCAGCCTTGGTTGCATTGCGTTGCGTCGCGGAGAAGGGGGGGGGGGGGGGGCGGAGCTGGATACTCTTCTGTAGGAAACCCTGAGAAATCCCTAGGAAGTACTTTGGAATCACTAGGAAATCTTGAAGAACCCTTAGGCATCCCTTAGGAATCCCTTAAGAATCCCCAGGGATCCCAAAGGAATCCTTAGGGAATCCCTAGCATTCCCTGAGGAATCCTTAGTACTTCCTAAGGAATCCTTATAGCACTCCCTAAGGAATCCTTAGCGTTGCGTTGCGCCGGGGGGGGGCGCCAGCGAGTGGTTTCGTCAACACAACAACAACAGCAGCAACAACAACCACAACAACAACAACAGCAGCAACAACAACAACAACCACAATAACAACTATCAGTTTACCCTCATGCGCGATGTTTCCACACGAAACATGCGACCATCATGATAACCATCCACATCATGGGGGACTCTTGTTCTATAGCGGAGTCCGTCATTCCCATTCCCAGATTTCCCGCACAATGATGTCTTGCAAACACCTCCTCCGAGGAATTTCAACATACCCTGCCTCGAAAACACATGCCACATGCCAGCGTCTTGCTGCGCCGATGCGAGACCGCCAGTGGAACCTCAGCGAAGGGTAAGCACAAGGAAGCATCGAACGACAGCATTGCCTTGGTGGGAATGTGGGCTGTCGGCGGGGAAGCAAGGACCTGGCCCTGAATAGAAAGGGAGGACGTCTCGAGCAAGGCTGCTGTTGTTGCAGGGAGCCAATGCTGAAGAGAGTAGGGCACCAGTCCAGCGTAAAACAAAACGAAGTCTCCAGCGGGAACGCTGGTTTTGTTGGGACGGCGGCTTTCGGCGGCGAGGAAGAACACCGCCTTGAATAAGAGAGGAGGAAGCATCGAGCGGGAGCCGTGGTTTTGTCGGGACGGGGGCTGTCGGCGGCGAGGAGCAGCACCGTCCCGAGGAACAAGATAGGAAATTTCGAGCGGGAACGTTGTTCTTGCTGGGAGCGGCGCCAATTCAAAAGAGAATTAGGCGCCAGTCCAGCGTAAAACGGAAGGAAGTCTCGGGCGGGAGCGCTGGTTTTGTCGGGGCGGAGGCTCGGCGGCGAGGAAGAACACCGCCTTGAGTAAGAAGGGAGGAAGCGTCGAACGGGAGCCGTGGTTTTGTCGGGACGGGGGTTGTCGGCGGCGCGGAACAGCACCGTCTTCAGGAAGAAGGGAGGACATCACGAGCGGGAGCGTTGTTCTTACTGGGAGCGGCGCCAATTCAAAAAAGAGTTGGGCGCCAGTCCAGCGTAAAACGGAAGAAAGTTTCGGGCGGGAGCGCTGGTTTTGTCGGGGCGGCGGTTTTCGGCGGCGAGGAGGAGCACCGCCTTGAGTAAAAAAGGGAGGAAACCTCGAGCGGGAGCGCTGTTTTTGCTGGGGGTGGCGCCGATGAGAGAAAGACTAGCGCGCCAAACCATGTAAAACGGGAGGAAGTCTCGAGCGGGAGCGCTGGTTTTGTTGGGACGGCGGCTTTCGGCGGCGAGCAAGAACACCAGCCCTGAGTAGAAAAGGGGGAAGTCTCGAGCGGGAGCATTGTTGTTGTTGGGAGGCCGGTTTTGGCGGTCCCCCAAGCGGCTCGAGCGTGAGCCTCATTTTCAATGAAAGTGCAGCCAGCGCCTCGGCGAGAGCGCCGGGGCGCCTTTAAGGGGTCCAACAATAATAATTGTTCAGTAATTAACATCCAATAGCAACAACAACAACAATTACTAGCACGTGGGGACACTCCGTTCTCACCAGTGCCAGGGTTTTCATAGGAGGCGGGCAATACCCCCACTTTGTGGGGGGGCCGGTTCAAGCTCTACCAAATTTCCAAACGACTCTTCGCCACCACCCACACCCAGCTTCCCGCCCTATGACGTTCGGACACTTCACTTCGTGGCATGCGGACGACCGTGGCTACTATTCAGGGCCCCGCGGCCGACGACGACGGCGTGCGCGCGCGAAGAAAAAACGAATGTGTCCCGCATGGTATTATGTGACAGGGATGATGGCCCTGGCAGGTGCGCAACCGTTGTCGCAGAAGTTCGAAAAAGTTGCTCGCAAAAGCCCGTTTGACAGAAATGTTTAAAAAGTGTTGGGTTTCCTACGAATCCGCAAGAGCGCGCGGGATGAAATTTTGACAATTACAAAAAAAAAAACCATTGGCTTTTTGATGTTTTTATGTTAAAATCGCTACGAAAACTAAGGTTTTGGAAGGATTTCGTCTTGCGCGCGCGAATGTCCACTTTACCTTATTTTTTGCAAGGGATTCTTGAAGTTTGGTTATGTTAGAACAAGAAATGTCCACTTTAGCTTATTTTTTGCAAGGGAAAGCGGGCCGTAACAAAACAACCGGATCCGGACCAACCCGTTTTGCCTGAGACTTCCTCACGAAAATGATGAAAATGTGGCTGCGGCCTAGGCGCGGCGGGGGGGTCGTGCACCAGGGGTCCCAACAATAATTATTCTTTAGAAGTAATAATGTTCAACAACAACAACAACAACAACAACAACAACAACAACAACAACAACAACGCAAGGACACTCTCTCAGGCCACCCCGGCGGGGCCCGTGGGTGTGTCCTCGCCCCCGGGGCGAGCGCACTGCCCCAGGCCACACGTTGCAGTTGTTGCCCCAGGGGGGGGGAGCAACGCGCAACACCTCTGTCATACGCTAACGTAAATCTATATGTGTTTGCGAATCTCCGTTGGCTCCCTTACTGTTCCCCACGCACTCCTGTGTCCGAAAACCGACCACGCGCCAGCGAGGCCAGCTCCTCCTCCTCATAGGACTCCTATGGAATCGCGCAGGACCCTGTAAGGATCCTATAGGTTCCTATAGGACTCCTATGGAATCGTGCCGGACCCTGTAAGGGTCCTATAGGCTCCCTCCAGGGTTCCTATGGAATCGTGCAGGACCCTGTAAGGATCCAATAGGATCCCTCTAGGGTTCTTATGGAATCGTGCAGGACCCTGTAAGGATCCTATCGGATCCCTATAGGCTTCCCATAGAATCGTGCAGGACCCTGTAAGGATCCTATTGGATCCCTATAAGGTTCCAATGGAAACCTGTTGGGCCCTGTCAGGATCCTAGAGGATCCCTCCAGGGTTCAGATGGAATCGTGCAGGACCCTGTAAGGATCCTATAGGATCCCTCTCGGGTTCCTATGGAAACGTGCAGGACTCTGTGAGGATCCTATGGGATCCCTCTGAGGTTCCGATGGGATCGTGCAAGACCCTGTAAGGATCCTAGAGATTCCTCTTTATAGTACTCCTATG